GGGGTAGGAATCTCAATTTTACAATTTGAAACCATCTACCTCCAAGGATAATTCTCACCAAGTAAAAATAATTTACTACAGAAAGTTGTCAAAATATACCCAAAAGTGTTATTTCCCTATATAAACTATAGTAAACTTTACCCCTTCCCCAAGGAAGAACGAATAGCTCAGGGGTCCTGAAATTTACAATTTAAGTAAATCCCCTGATGATCTTTCTTTCCATGCAAAGAAAATGAATGTAGTACCTCTGAGTCTGGAGAAGAAGATTTTTGAAATATTGGTTTATTTTCCCTTTGGGGCCCCGCCCTGGCCCCTGGGGTTGGGGTAGGAATTCCAATTTTACAATTTTGTAGCCTCATCTACCAAGGATGATTCTGACCAAGTTGAAAACAATCCATCCACTGGTTCTTCAGAAGAAGTTGAAAATGTAAAAAGTTTACGCACGACGCACTACGGACGGAAAGCGATTAGAAAAGGTCACTTGAGCAAAGCTCAGGTGACCTAAAAAGATAAACGAAAGAGTTTTAATGTATGTGGTTATAAGTCTAAAATAGCTTTGTATATATTGTCATTGCTTTAGACTGGCCACCGTCTCTAGAATATTAAATAATTAAGAAAATAAATTAACTCTAATAATTTTGATCACTTTGATGTCTGATCCTAAGTTCTAAACTAGATAAGCTAGTACTTAGTAAAATGCAGTCGAGAAATTCTTCATAAAAACTTAAGAGCTGGTGGCCAGTCTAGCATTGCTTAAACACACGATGAGACGAAATTATTAAATACATCACATTTTACACAGAACCTGTCGGAAACAACCTGTCGATCGTTCCGGTCAATATAGGAGATATAGCTCGCAAATCTGTATGCATTACACGTTTCTCATAAGTATATATCGCCGCCTACCCAAATATCGAGCGGGATATCGTATAAATATGTCACCACGGTGTTCTTGTGACGCCCACTGTGATTGAAAACATCAGATATCTTGACATATGATAATATACGAGGCTTGAAGCCTGGCGCCATTTTCAGATTTAAGGAGACAATCCCCAAATCGGATAAGTACCCAAATCAGATCATTCTTTGGAAGAAATGATAATCTTTGGAATTTGATGAATTTATTCTTACAGTCCGAAACAAAATACAAATTCCTCACACACGTGACAGGAATGGAAGAAGTTGGATCCAGGGAATATCCAACAAAATCCTGCTGGATGATGTATTGAAATACCAGGAGGCTAGACACGAGGGAGCTGAGGAATGAGGCACACAGGGCATCCCACTGTTTGTGGATGTGGCGTTGAAAGAGTAGCTTGAAGTCTGTTGATCCGCTATCATGAGGGTGGAAACTATATGCCAAGTTGCGAAAACAAGAATACATAGGATCGGAGAATCCATCAGTGGAGAAACAGGAAAGCGTACAGTAGATAGATTTGTGAGACGCATGAACATATCTTCAATTGAAATCACCTGAATTATTTGAAGCTAGTTAAAATTAATAGAATATATGTTAATTTGGTGTTCCATAGGACAACGCTCGGAATCTAACTGAGAGGATGACTAACCAGCGCAACCTCCCGCAGCAGCTTATTGGCAAGGTGAAGTGGTCCGCGATGGATAGTATGGACTGGAACGTGTCCGAGGAAGTCTTGGAAGGGATATCCATAATATTGTTAACAAAGAGTTAAGTACGCAAGATGGAAACAGTGGCAAGACTAGAGTTAACGTCGGGATAAAACCGTTTAGAAAAATGGAGATTCGGGAAAGGGTAGACTTCCGGTTAGCGCCTGATAAGGCTTGCTCCCGTAGGCTCCTGACAAATTTTGTGTTTTTAACGAATATACTCATTTACCAACGCTGAAGTTTGCCATATTATCATTTAAATAGTTCGAGATCATTCTTGTCTATAATTTTAGTTTTTGAAATTGGAACTTTGTCGTCATTTTTGGCTTTAATTTCGCTGTAAAACAAGATTACAGCAGCGAACTTGTCCCAGATCTAGACACCGACTGTGAAATAGTCTGGGTTAAGATTGACATCAAAGGAACGGCGAACATCTACATTTGTTCCTACTACAGACGGCACATTTCAGACGAGGATAGTTTGATCAACTTCGAAATTTCCATCGCCCGAGCATCATCAAATAAAAACGC